TATCTCCTCCGCGACTTCTTTCACACTGGGGATGGCAGCACTATCATCGCTGCCGATAAGCCTACCACAGAGTTTTGTTCAAAGTTTTCCCCTCCACGGCAAGTTCAAGTTATTGATAAGAGGAAATGTGTACCCCCAAGGCGGGGGGGGGGGGGAAGGCGGGCGCTAAAAATAGCATCTGGTGATACACGTACGCTGACTGGCGCACGCGCACTTTGTACCTTCGGCATGCGCGCGAACGCACACGCAAACGCGCGTACACGCACGCTGGACGCGTAATCCTGTGGTCCGGGGGTTCGATTCCCGGCGCCTGCGAGAAACAAATGGGCAGTTTCTTTCACCTTGATGCCATTGTTACCTAGCAGTAAATAGGTACCTGGGAGTTAGATAGCTGTTACGGGCTGCTTCCTAGGGGGGGGGGGGGGTAGCAGTTAGTAACAACTTAGTTGAGACGCGGGCCGAAAGAGCAGAGCTCAACCCCCGCAAGCACAACTAGGTGAATACAATCCATGCATACACACCACGCAATTCTTAAGTTTTGCTAAACTGGCCGAAATGACGCTACTGGCAGACAGAAAGATAACAGAGCGAGGGACACTGAAATGACCCCTCAAAAGCCTATATTCCTACCCTTAGTAACCCAAACCAAGGTCGGACCTCCCCCCCCCCCACCCCCTCTCCGCCCCATCACCCTTCGTCCCTGTTACCAACTTAAATCTGGGTCACCTGCTGAAAGGATCTGCCACCACCCAGTTTTGAACATATACGGTAATAAGAGAAAGAAGGACGCAGGTTCAAATCCTCGTCACGGCCCTTGTGGATTTGTCCATATACGGTACTATCTCACACACACACACACAGTATGGAGGTTAAGCTTCCACTTGAATAATTTCAATATAAAAAAATTAGCTAGTTTTGCACATACTATTGGAACTGAAGAGCATAACAAAAACTGAAAGATTAACCATAAACTTAATATAACCTATTCTGCGCTTAAATATAACAAAAATATTAGGCCTGACATACGCAATCACAAGCTTAATGTTAATACTGTGTATGTATATATATATATATATATATATATATATATATATATATATATATATATATATATATATATATATATATATATATATATATATAACTCGTGCTAGGCCAAGGCATAGAGAGTACAGTTACAGTTTCAAACGCCCTTTACGAAATTAACAGCACACAATGTGGATGTGCGTGCGCGTGTATTTACTATTTGTAATTGCAGAATCGAGCTATTAGCTCTTGGACGCCGCCTTTCTAGCCAATCTATTTTGCTTCTATTGTATCTACTACATATATTTCTCTAGCGCGCACAGACACGAGAAGCAGCCTGTAACAGCTGTCTAAACTCCCAGGTACCTATTTACTACTAGGTGAACAGGCGCATCAGAGTATGAGTATTTGTTTTGCACGCGCACCCAAGAGTTCACATTTTAGTAATTTACGTCCATGGCCGCTACCGGTACCCTCGTTTCTGCCTCACAGCTCGCATGATTGCGTTATCAAAACGAGTGCGGATGGCTTATCTCCCCCCGGGTCACCAGTTCACTCCCAGATCTACTCTGCTCTCTCACCCACGTCCAGGTACCCTGTTCAACTTTCCTCCATCTCCCAGGTACTGCCAGGAATAATACTCCCAGACTCCTATAATCACCCCCGCCGCCTTCCAAGGCGCGCGCCTTCTGCCTACCTTCACACAGGAAGTGACCAGCGTTTCAATTTTCGAGGTTATTGACTAATCGTCCACGAGTGACGGGAGGCAACTATCTAGCCAGTGATAACCGAGGAGAGAACAGGACGGATGTCTGTAATGGCATAGGAGAAATATTGGTAGTTCTGTGGGACGGTGTGGAATGGGTTGAAGGGATGGGCAAACAGGGAAAGGGGAGGAGGAAGGGGGGAATACGACAATGCAAATGGTGTTTAGAAAGAAGTAGAAGACACTATTAATGGCGATGGGCGAGTTAGATGGGTCGTGATGGATGGAAGGCAGGCTTGGTTGGTGGGACGGGATGGGTATGCTAGTTTAGATGTACAGATAAAGTTGACAAGAGAGGATACATCGCTTGACAACACAGGAGGGAGGGAGGGATGGAATGGTGAGCCCCCCCCCCCCTTCCCTCCCTACCGTAGCTGCTGCCACTGCCCGGTCACTTGAAATATCCACGAATTATCAGGCTTCCTCGTCTGGTTAGCGTGGTGTGATTCCATCGTCTTTATGAAACTTTTGTGACAACTTACACCCTCGCCCATGCACGACTTGAGGAAAGTTAAGTAACTATACAGAATGGAAGGAGTTCATCTTGGAGGGCGTGTGTGGGCGTGGTGTAGCCAGGCCGCCGCATACAACACCCACGCCTGTATGCGCGCCTCCACCGCCACCGGCCAGACACTGTCGGCCCATATCGATCTTCTGAACCTCCCTCCCTCCCTCTCTGTCTCCACCATCAAACTACATTCCCTCCCCCCTCACTTCCACCTTACAAACCCTCTACCACCATGCATCCACCTATCACCTCCACCACACTGATTACCGAGGAATAAACAGATACGATCGAGGTTGGGAAGGAGGTAGGCCGCCGCCGCCACCCAACCGTCCTCGCTGGCCTAGTTCCACGTACGATGCTATGTTTTGATAGACACGCAACTCCGCTGCACACATGCCTACACCTTTATTACACTCTTAACAATAATTTTTTGGACCTTGTGTGTGTGACGTAGTGTTACCAGATGTTAATCGAGTTTAATGTGCAACTTGTACATTGTACAATCAGCAACTACAACCTTAAAAAATAATACACAACTTATCCAGGTACTATATACCCCCTTCCACCGCCAGGCAGAGTAAACACCCACCCACCCTCTACTTTGCCAGGTAATGTAACATTTACTGTAAATACGCCCTCCACATACCTCGTGTGTACACATGCACACACACACCCTCCAGATGTCACGTGTCTACACACACACCCTCCACACACACACCACGTGTCTACACACACACACCACGTGTCTACACACACACACCCTCCACAAACACACCACGTGTCTACACACACACCACGTGTCTACACACACACCCTCCACACACACCACGTGTCTACACACACACACACACACACACCACACATCACGTGTCTACTACACACACCCTCCACACACCACGTGTCTACCTACACACCCTCCACACACCACGTGTCTACCTACACACACCCTCCACACACCACGTGTCTACTACACACACCCTCCACACACCACGTGTCTACTACACACACCCTCCACACACCACGTGTCTACTACACACACCCTCCACACACCACGTGTCTACTACACACACCCTCCACACACCACGTGTCTACTACACACACCCTCCACACACCACGTGTCTACTACACACACCCTCCACACACCACGTGTCTACTACACACACCCTCCACACACCACGTGTCTACTACACACACCCTCCACACACCACGTGTCTACTACACACACCCTCCACACACCACGTGTCTACTACACACACCCTCCACACACCACGTGTCTACTACACACACCCTCCACACACCACGTGTCTACTACACACACCCTCCACACACCACGTGTCTACTACACACACCCTCCACACACCACGTGTCTACTACACACACCCTCCACACACCACGTGTCTACTACACACACCCTCCACACACCACGTGTCTACTACACACACCCTCCACACACCACGTGTCTACTACACACACCCTCCACACACCACGTGTCTACTACACACACCCTCCACACACCACGTGTCTACTACACACACCCTCCACACACCACGTGTCTACTACACACACCACGTGTCTACACACACACACACACACACACTCCACACACCACGTGTCTACACACACACCACGTGTCTACACACACACACACACTCCACGTGTCTACACACACACACACACACACACCCTCCACACACCACGTGTCTACTACACACACCCTCCACACACCACGTGTCTACACACACACCCTCCACACACCACGTGTCTACACACACACCCTCCACACACCACGTGTCTACCTACACACCCTCCACACACCACGTGTCTACTACACACACCCTCCACACACCACGTGTCTACTACACACACCCTCCACACACCACGTGTCTACTACACACACCCTCCACACACCACGTGTCTACTACACACACCCTCCACACACCACGTGTCTACTACACACACCACGTGTCTACACACACACACACACTCTCCACGTGTCTACACACACACACACCCTCCACACACCACGTGTCTACCTACACACACCCTCCACACACCACGTGTCTACCTACACACACCCTCCACACACCACGTGTCTACCTACACACACCCTCCACACACCACGTGTCTACCTACACACCCTCCACACACCACGTGTCTACCTACACACACCCTCCACACACCACGTGTCTACTACACACACCCTCCACACACCACGTGTCTACCTACACACACCCTCCACACACCACGTGTCTACTACACACACCCTCCACACACCACGTGTCTACCTACACACACCCTCCACACACCACGTGTCTACCTACACACACCACGTGTCTACCTACACACACCCTCCACACACCACGTGTCTACCTACACACACCACGTGTCTACCTACATACACCACGTGTCTACTACACACACCCTCCACGTGTCTACCTACACACACGCTCCACACACCACGTGTCTACCTACACACACCCTCCACACACCACGTGTCTACCTACACACACCCTCCACACACCACGTGCTACACACGTGCGCGCACCCCCCCCCCTCCAGATACCACGTGTGTACACACACACACACGCACACCAAATACAGCATTGTTACACTCGCACAAACTGTACGCCTCCCCCCCTTTTAAGTTACTTGGGTATATCTATATACTGAATATATATACCGGAGAGCGCAGCTACTTACCATATCCCAAGCTGTGATCTTGGCCCTCGAGACCTGCTTGATCGCTACGGGGGCACCGTCTCGAACTCTCCAACCAGAATACACAGTACCGAAGCCACCTTTGCCAAGCACAGTGCCGACACGGTACGTCTCGTCCAGGGGCCGGCCGCTCCCTGGATAGGCAGGAGGTTATCAGTCAACAGGTATAGATGGGTACTTAAAAAAATTATATACAAAGAAATTTACATGCATGAAGCTCCCTGAAAGTAAAATAAATTATTCAGTATATATACATTAACTATAAATATATATATAATTTATATATATATAAATAAATTTAAGTGAAAATATACAGGAACAGAAAATTATAAATAAATAAATAAATTAGGCTTGCTTTAATCTGGGTATCAGATTAAGGCCTATGTATGAATGGAACATTTCAACCAACTTGAGACAGCATCATGTCGAAAATTACAGGCAACTCAAACAATGATGACATTGCCAGCTTGGGAAATAGGCTAATCTTAGTATTAACAACAAAAAACGCCACGCCGGGAAGACTATATATATAGCTCTTAGTATCGAGCAAGACAACAAACGCGTTGCAAATCAACTTCAAAAGATGACGAACAAACTACAACAATGAATATCAATATCAGAAATCAAGTTAAATCAAGACTGGCGATAGATATACAACCTTCAAAGAGCCAGATGAGACCATTTCGCCACGACACACACACACAACGCTTACGCCAACTTCTCAAGATCAATGTAAGTCTGGCCTGTGAAGACATTCTTAAAAATACATTTGTAACATATAAACATCCACCATTCCCTAATGTCAAACAAATCATCCACACCTGCCAGCGGCGATCTGCAAATAATAATAAAACTCATATGCAGCAACTCTTGCATGGAAATTTAAGATACCACGTACAATTAGGCGCAGAAACAAACATTCGATAATTTAAACAGAACAGATGGATTTTATAATGGTCCACATATATAAAACCCAGCAAAACCCGACCCGCCAAAAGTCATCTCTTGGCTTTATTTACACTGCACTTCACGGAACGTAATGAAAATTTGAGAAGATAATGACATTAAAAATGACATCAAAACTATGCTTTTTTTTTGCATAAAATACACGCTTAATATATCAATATAATATCGCGCATATCAATGTTAAGATAAATCAAACAAATTGGCATACTTATTTTGTATAACTACAATTTGATGAGGAAGACAGGAAGCTGTCTTCCTCAGGGGACAGGAAGCCTGTATATATATATCCTCCAGGCTTGTATCAAGCCCCCCCCACCTTCCCCCCAAGGTTAAACTACTGAACCGTCCCTTCCAGGATGCACCCTCACAATAGTTGCTAACCCTCCCTTCCCTCCCTTAGGTATATATATTCTGTATTGCTAGATGAACAGAAGCATTATGTAATGGAAAACTTGCCCAACCATTTCTGTCCCGACCGGGAATCGAACCAGGGATTCCCGATTGAAGCTAAAATTGTCAGTTGTAAAAACCTAAATTTATACGCTAGACTATCTCGAATTCTACAAGGCCAAATGCAAGGAAATCTGTTTAGATATCCCAGTCATGGGCAAGTCATATACCCCGCGGGACGCCACGTTGGCAACAACGCTCAATATATACCCGGGTTTACCTTCACTAAAGGTAAACCAGGTATAAACAAACCGCTCAAAATCAAAACAAATTTGTCAATTAACTAGATCTTAAAGACTAGTTTTTGGACCACAATAAGGGACAAGCATCTTGCCAAGACACAGCGTCAACACTAGTTAGTAGATTGATAAAATTTTAATATTTATAACCGTTGGTAGAGTTTCACAAGTTTACATCGGAGTAATTTTCCTAGTATTTTCCTAGTATAATATTCCTAGAAATTGTACTAGGAATTCTATATTCATTATATCGAGACATTACACACCGTTTCGGAAAATTGATTGGGCTTGTTTTTCCAAAATGTTTTAAGGTAAACTCAAGATCCGAGGAAATTCTTGCTTTCGTGTAACTAAAACTACATTTTCATAGTTCTTCAATATTAAACAAGCGTATATGAAAGACAGGGCCTAGGGAAATTTTTAAATGTGTTCACTGTCAGGCCTATACTATAAACTCTCGCCACGTGACCGTCTTCTGCGGTAGGCCTATTTGATTCAAAATAGCATAGGCCTAATAACGGGTCCGGTGCCCCCCCCACCTATCGACAGCCGGATAAAAAATAAATTCCTCGCTTAAAGTTTGCGAGCACTCAACGGCGCGTCAACGGCAAATCGAACACACCCGCGCGCGCCAACGGCAAACCGAACACACCCGTGCGCCAACGAGCAAACCGAACACACCCGTGCGCGCCAACGGCAAACCGAACACACCCGTGCGCGCCAACGGCAAACCGAATACCCAACGGCGCGTCAACCGAACACACCCGTGCGCCAACGGCAAACCGAACACACCGGCGCGCCAACGGCAAACCGAACACACCCGTGCGCGCCAACGGCAAACCGAACACACCCGTGCGCGCCAACGGCAAACCGAACACACCCGTGCGCGCCAACGGCAAACCGAACACACCCGTGCGCGCCAACGGCAAACCGAACACACCCGTGCGCGCCAACGGCAAACCGAACACCCAACGGCGCGTCAACCTAACACACCCGCGCACCAACCCGAACACACCCGCGCACCAACCCGAACACACCCGCGCACCAACCCGAACACACCCGCGCACCAACCCGAACACACCCGCGCACCAACCCGAACACACCCGCGCACCAACCAAACCGAACACACCCGCGCACCAACCCGAACACACCCGCGCGCGCCAACGGCAAACCGAACACATCCGCGCGCACCAACGGCAAACCGAACACACCCGCGCGCACCAACGGCAAACCGAACACACCCGCGCGCACCAACGGCAAACCGAACACCCGCGCGCACCAACGGCAAACAGAACACACCTGCGCGCACCAACGGCAAACAGAACACACCCGCGCGCACCAACGGCAAACAGAACACACCCGCGCGCACCAACGGCAAACAGAACACACCCGCGCGCACCAACGGCAAACAGAACACACCCGCGCGCACCAACGGCAAACAGAACACACCCGCGCGCACCAACGGCAAACCAAACACCCGCCAAATCTCGGAACTTGAAACCAGCCCGCCAAAAACACACATTTTCCTCAACACAACAAACACACGAGTTTAAAAACACCTGACGAGAGACTTGGGAGGGAGGACATTTACCTCTGGAGGAGAGCGGGGTTGTGGCTCGGGGGGTGTTGGAGGTCGGGGTGGTGGTAGTAGTGGTAGTGGTGGTAGTTGTAGGCACGATAGGTTTACTGGTGGCCGTAGTAGTATTATTTGGTCCACACTTTGAGCACATTTTGCAAGTGGTAGTGGCCGTTTTCTCACAAAACACTGGAGCAACACTGCTAGACTGCGGTGCCATGCTTGCTATATGGGAAATCTTGGGAGACACAAGAACATCCACCATATTCCAAGAGACTCATTCACTCTGCAGAGGTGTACATCGAAGCGCCGCGAAGAGCAACTGGGGTCCCAGAGAGAGCGATTCTCACCCGCAGGTCCGCACGCCACGAGCGCCAGAGTGTAACTGATGAATATATGTGTTGGTCGCGCGGTCGTGTCTACTTGGCTCTTATACAAGGTATCCCTCCGCCACTACCACCCCTACACCCGTACTCAAACCTCACAAACTTCAAATTCCTTTTCAAATGGGGGTTGCAAAATAAGGTGCGAGGTGCTAGGGTACTGGTTGGTCAAGTTGGCTTGCAAGGTCAATTGCACGCCTTTGCATTACCGGGTACCAGACATGGGACTAGTTTCTTCCTCTTCGTAAGCGTAATATTTACGTCTGGGGATCGTGTGTATCCCACGGTTGGCCTGACGTCACTCGCAAGAATTCAATACATTCAGGCGCGCTATGCCAACAAGGCTTGTGTTTTGATGAAATGTTACGCGGTTATTATTCTCAAGCAGAACTGATTGTCTTATAAATTATATATGCTCTTATTCTTTGCGGACCTTAATGAAAATAGACTTCAAAGGCAGACGAATAAACCAGAAACGGACAAAACAAAATGTGCGGGGGGTTTGAGCGGTTGGTAGACCTGGCTTAGTCCGTAGTCACTCCAGCCAATGAGTGCGTGAAGTTATAGAGTGGACCAATCAGATTCCGCGTTTGATTTGTGTGTCTGGCAACTCTTCACGTCCCCCCTGTTACTACGAGGGGGGTCACGTGGCGCGCCAAACACAAGTTCCCGCCAAAAGTGCTGACTACGAGCAGTGTGAGCGGGCGTTGACTCCCCACTGACCGGGGTGGGGGGGAGGTCCTCAAGGACTCCTAGCCGTATCCTCCTCCCGCCAGCGAGCAACACTGGCTGGCGGGGCAGATGGCTGAGGAATGTTCCGGTGGATGGTTTCATGGGAACTAATGGCAATGTGGTGTAGGAGGGAATCCGCCCGCTTTGAACTATACCACCCAACCGCTTCTTCCGTCAAGAAAGGATCAATAGCCTTAGAAATTTGACGCCACTTTGCAATGGTTGGCTACAGAGCACCTAGAGTCTTAAGACATACTTTAGAACCACACGGTACCACATGCTTACTAACGCTAGGCTTGATTTAACAAAATATTAGTTACCCTGGGAGAGGTTAACTGGCAGTTACTATTGTTAGATTATTTGGCGCGAACTTGCAATGCGCGGGAAAATTGGACTTGAACGTGTTCGAGTGCTCTTTCGCGGCATGAAGTTGAATGATTCTTAACATAGTATATTTACAATATTTTCTGGAACACAAATTGAAGAATGGATATTAATTCTTGCATTAATTTACCTTGCATAAGACAAGGTAAATTAACAGATTTCAGTTCAATTACAAAGTAAATTTAAAGCGCACCACATTTGATACTAAACATCTCATTTACACTTACGCCAACTTGTTTGCTGGAAAATATATTAAACGCTCCCAAATTTTCAAAGTCAATATAGCATTAAGAAGTATTATTATCTCGCCGCGTGATGTGTTCGTTGCTGGGGTTGTCAGGTACAACACAATTGTGGTATTGACAAATAACTGGATGGGTGACTACATGAAGCGGCCTCGCTCTTGACTTGTAGTAGACCGCGACAAGCCTAGTGACTGATAGATTCTTCCTAAATACATACGTATTGAAGACAAAATTATAGTGCACTTAACATACACACATTTATTTACAGTTGCTACTGTAGTCTTGCATAGTTCAATGAGGATATCTTACAAAGACCTGAGATTTTAAACCAATTAGAAGATCTAGGGAGGTCTAGGAAGGGGAGGACATAACCCCTCTCCAACCATTCCTTCCCTCCCATACTCATAACCTCCCTACAGCCCCCCCTCTCACCCCTCGCCTAACACGATACAGCCCCTCCCCTTCCTACCTAACCACTGCCCCCTCCACCACCCAGACGAGCAACAGATGGAGTCGTGCTTATCAAAGCCACTTGAAGCTTGGCACACGGACATACGGATTACTGGAAGAACCTTTGCCGGCAGGTGACTAAATTTACACTCATTACCTTCCGCTGCGTGTGTGCAGTGCACGCGTACGTCCCCACGCACGCACTGGTGGATGTAAACACATACAGGTGTATTTAAACACACACACACACACTTAGATGCAAGTGAACACTCCGCAAGACAAACACATACATACGAGGACATAAACATGCATACAGGAAGACGTATGTGTGTGTGTGTGTGTGTGTGAACAACACACACACACAAATGTACATGAATACACGTAAGGCTAAATACAACAAAATCACATTACAGTAAGCTTTGGCCCAGAGCGAGGTAAATCATATTTTACACTTAAGCGGTCAGTCCGAGACCCCAAACTGGGCCCCCGGATAGGCTACTACAGATTTCCTGAACCTCCCCGCTCCCCCCGGGGTACAGAATTCTATTTTACAAAAGAATTTACAGTCCTCGGGAGGAGACAGGACTCCACATTACATGATGTGACATGACACAGGATTTTCGCTTATCGTACTTTTAAATCTGATATAAAATAGCCTAAATTGTGAGAAAATTTCTGGACCGTTGGAATCTTATATAGTTACTCGGAATTTTTCTCGTAGTATATATATATTATTGTGATGTTTCTTAAGTAAGAGTAGAGTTTCTTAAGTAAGAGTAGAGTTTCTTAATATTTGTTAGTGATTTATAAGAGGTATTTCAGTTGTGGATGCGGGGGGGGGGGGAAGGTGCTTAAGTAAAGAAAACACTTATAGCTGAAAACACTTTCCAACAGGTGTGTAACTAAAGAAAAAACTTAGAACTTCCAACAGGTGTTTAACTAAAGAAAAAAAATATAGCTTCCAACAGGTGTTTAACTAAAGAAAACACTTATAGCTTCTAGTTAGATCAGTGAGGCTTACACTAGCAAAATATAAAGCATAACACGAGAAAAAGACAGTTTGAAGGTATATAATATAAAATAAAATATACCTTGAAATTTATAAATATTTACACATGTTTTGGGTCAAGTAATAATGTACATATGACTAGAGACATTGGAAATAATCAGAAACTTTGTGTAAAGTGAATACCGGATATGGAAAAATTAAACTTAATCACACAGGAAGGTTATTAATTAAACACAAAAAATTTAAGTTTTTCTTATAAAAATTAACATGAAAGCTAAAAGTATGTATGTTGACCAGACGACACACTAGAAGGTGAAGGGACGACGACGTTTCGGTTCGTCCTGGACCATTCTGGACAATCGACTTGAGAATGGTCCAGGACGGACCGAAACGTCGTCGTCCCTTCACCTTCTAGTGTGTGGTCTAGTCAACATACTTTAGCTACGTTATTGTGACTCATCGCCTGCATAAAAGTATGTATGTGTGTGTACTTACCTAGTTGTATTTACGGTGGGGTTGAGCTCTGCTCTTTCGGCCCGCCTTTCAACTGTTACTCATTTCATGATTATTCATTTCGTTAAACCAGTATTGAATGCATAGCTTTGGATAATATTGACAAAGAGCAATATTATCCAGAGAGCAGTTGGCTTGTTCGACAGACGCTGTGATGGTTGCGACACCAGCAGATATATATAGAGAGAGCACAAAATCAAATTCTTAAACCGGTGTAAATTGCGCCTTTCAGCCAGGCAGAGAAAACAATGATATTCAATGAGTATAAAAGCCTCGCCAGCCTCTGCGACCTGTCCTCAGGCTAGGCTAAAAATAAGCAAAACAGGAATTTGAATTTCGAACAGTGTACGAAGCAGCTGTTAAACTACACTTGACAAATATATGACTGAAAACTCTACACCCCAGAAGTGACTCGAACCCAGACCATCAGAAGCACAATGCAACTGGGGTACATGGTACCTTAACCGCTTGACCATCAGTGACTGTACAAAAGACGATGGTAGCCGAGGCTAATTCCCCACCGTCCCGACGGCACTTTGATGGTAATCTTGGGCATAGTTATTTCATCAAATTACCTCATTTTTGTGTGGCCACGTGAGCAACACAAATGCGAACAAGATTGAATGGTCCCCAAGCATATATGCGACTGAAAACGCCACACCCCAGAAGTGACTCGAACCCAGACCACCAGGAGCACAATGAAACTGGGGAACATGGTACCTTAACCGTCGGCTACCTTAATCCCTGAAGCAAGAAAGAAGACTGGGCGGACTGCATTTTCTTGGACTGTCGGAAAGCCGTTGACACAGTACCCCATAAGAGGCTGGTACATAAGCTGGAGAGACAGGTAGGTAAGGTGCTCCGGTGGATGAGGGAGTACCTAAGCAATAGGAAGCAGAGTTACAGTGAGGGGTGAGACCTCAGATTGGTGTGAAGTCACCAGTGGAGTCCCACAGGGCTCTGTACTCGGTCATATCCTGTTTCTGATATACGTCAATGATCTCCCGGAGGGTATAGACTCATTCCTCTCAATGTTTGTGAACGATGCCAAAATTATGAGAAGGATTAGGACAGAGGACGACTGCTTGAGGCTTCAAGAAGACCTAGACAAACTGAAGGAATGGTCGAACAAGTGGTTGTTAGAGTTTAACCCAACCAAATGTAATGAAGATAGGTGTAGGAGCAAGAGACCAGATACAAGGTATCATCTGGGATATGAAATTCTTCAAGAGTCAGAGAGAGAGAGAAAGACTTGGGGGTTGATATCACACCAGACCTGTCCCCTGAAGCCCATATCAAGAGGATAACATCAGCGGCATACGCCAGGTTGGCCAACATAAGAACAGCATTTAGAAACTTGTGTAAGGAATCATTTAGAAATTTGTATACCACATATGTCAGACCAATCCTGTAGTATGCAGCTCCAGCACGGAGTCCATATATAGTCAAGCACGAGACTAAACTGGAGAAGTTTCAAAGGTTTGCCACCAGACTAGTACCCGAGCTGGGAGGTATGAGCTACGAGGAGAGACTACGGGAGTTAAACCTCACGTCGCTGGAAGACAGAAGAGTTAGGGGGGAACATGATCACCACATACAAGATTCTCAAAGGAATTGATAGGGTAGATAAAGACAGGCTATTTAACCCAATAGGCATGCGCACTATGGGACACAGATGGAAATGGAGTGGCCAATGAGCCACAGAGATATTAGAAAGAACGTTTTTAGTGTCAGAGTGGTAGACAAATGGAATGCATTAGGAAGTGATGTGGTGGAGGCCGACTCCATACACAGTTTCAAGTGTAGATATGATAGAGCCCAATAGGCTCAGGAACCTGTACACCAGTCATTCCAAAGAGCCAGAGCTCAACCCCCGCAAGCACAAATAGGCGAGTACACACACACACACACAGTTTCTTGCCTTTAGAAATAGGAATAAAAAATAAACACACATCTCTTGAAGCATTTCAATTAGCCTGTCCCAGCTGTCGTTTGGCAGGGGGGTGTTTGAGTTGGGAGGGGGGGGGGGGGTGCTGCTGAGGGTCACCTCCGGTACGACAACCAGGCAAGTTCTGCCCTGCCCGACGGATATTGTACCGCGGCTGCCA